AGGAGTCGCAAATGGCGCTGAACATTGTGCAGTAATCAGCGAACATCCCCACTTTTGACCTTCTGATGGAGGGAAGGTCATTGATGAAGCAGCTGAAGATGGTTGGTTTGAGGACACTACCCCGAGAAGCCCTTGCAGAAATGTCCTGGAGCTGAGATGACTGACCTCCAACAACCACAACCATCTTCCTATGTGCCTGCTATGATTCCAACCACTGGATAATTTTCCCCCGATACCCATTGATTCTAGTTTTGCTAGGGCTCCTTGATGCCACACTCGATCGAATGCAGCCTTGATGTCAAGGGCTGTCACTCTCGCCTCCCCTCTGGAATTCAGTTCTTTTGTCCATGTTTGAACCAAGGCTGTAATGAGGTCAGGAGCTGAGTGGCCCTGGCGGAACCCAAACTGGGCATCACAGAGCAGGTTATTGCTGAGCAGGTGCTGCTTGATAGCACTGTTACCGACACCTTCCATCACTTTACTGATGATTCAGAGTAAATTGATGAGGCGGTAATTGGCCGGGTTGGATTTATCCTGCTTTTTATGTACAGGACATAGCTGGGCAATTTTTCACATTGTCGAGTAGATACCAGTATTGTAACTGTACTGGAGCAGCTTGGCTAGGGGAGCGGCAAGTTCTGGAGCACAGGTCTTCAGTACTATTGCCGGAATGTTATCAGGGCCCATAGCCTTTGCAGTATCCATTGTCTCCAACTGTCTCTTGATATCACGTGGAGTGAATTGAATTGGCTGAAGACTGGTGTCTGTAATGTTGGGGACCACTGGAGGAGGCCGAGATGGATCGTCCACTCAGCACTTCTGGCTGAAGATTGCTGCGAATGATTCAGCCTTCTCTTTTGCACTGATGTGCTGGGCTCTTCCATCATTGAGGATGGGGATACTTGTGGAGTCTCCTCCTCCAGTGAGTTGTTTAATCGTCCACCACCATTCATGACCAAATGTGGCAGGACTGCAGAGCTTGGTTGTGGGATTGCTTTGCTCTGTCTATCACTTGCTGCTTTCGCTGTTTAGCATGCAAATAGTCTGGTTTGGTGGCTTCACCAGGTTGATACCTCATCTTCAGGTATGCCTGGTGCTGCTCCTGGCATGCCCTCCTGCACTCTCCATTGAACCAGGGTTGATCCCCTGGCTTGATGGTAATGGTTGAATGGGGGATATGCCGGGCCATGAGGTTACAGATTGTGCTGGAGTACAATTTTGCTGATGTTGTTGGACCACAACACCTCATGGATGCTCAGTCCTGAGTTGCTAGATCTGTGCGAAGTCTGTCCCATTTAGCACGGTGATAGTGCCACACAATACAATGGGGGTTATTCTCAATGTGAAGGTGAGACTTTGTCTCCACAAGGACTGTGCGATGGTCCCGCTTACTGATACTGTCATGGACAGATGCAACTGCAGCTGGCAGATTAGTAAGGATGTGGTCAAGTATGTTTTTCCCTCACCACCTGCTGCAGACCCAGTCTAGCAGCAATGTCCTGTAGGACCCAACCAGCTCGATCAGTAGTACTGCTACTGAGCCACTCTTGGTGGTGGACATTGAAATCCTCCACCCAGAATACATTTTGTGCCCTTGCCATCCTCAGTGCTTCCTCTAAGTGTTGTTCAACATGGAGGAGTACAGAGTCATCAGCTGAGGGAGGACGGTACGTGGTAATCAGCAGGAGGTTTCCTTGCCCATGTTTAACCTGAAGCCATGAGACTTCTTGGGGTCCTGAGCCAATGTTGAGGACTCCTAGAACAACTCCCTCCCATCTGTATCCCACTGTGCCGCCACCTCTGCTGGGTCTGTCCTGTGGTGGGACAGGACATATCCAGGGATGGTGACGGTGGTGTCTGGGACATAGTCATGCTCACAGAATCATACCTTACAGACAATGTCAGGCTGTTTCTTGACTAGTCGGTGAGACAGCTCTCCCAATTTTGGCACTAGCCCCCAGATCTTAGTGAGGAGGACTTTGCAGGATCGACAGGGCTGTTTCTGTCATTGTCTTTTCCGGTGCCTAGGTCGATGCCAGCTAATCCGTCCAGTTTCATTCCTTTGAGTCTTTGTAGCAATTGGAGATTATAATTAGGAGGGAAACTAAAATTGATGTTCTCCGCTAGAATTAGCTAAGATTCAGTTAGAAATGGAAATAAAAGCATGATTTAAAGGCAGAGAAAGAGTGCACAATAGGAAGGAAATAAAAATTGAAAAGCTTTGATCCTCAAAAAGACAGAACTCAAGTAACATGACTTAGAGAGAGCAGGGCTTAGAGTGAATGAATGAAGAGGAGATAATAGTTAAGAAGATGATGATCATTCCAATGAGGCGTTTGATTTAACTAGAAACTTATGTATGTTTAGTGCCTACATTTACACAGGATAGCATGGAAGGATATTTACCTCATTTAGAATAGAATAGAATAGAATATCCTGTACTGTCATTTGAAGATTAAGTGGCCAAAATGTGTTTGAACCTTAAGATTATGGAGGTGAAGTTGCTAGGTGCAACAATGGAAGCACAGAACAGTTTGTCAGAAGAGCAACTTGCAGACTATAAAGCTGTCAGAAGAGCAATACTGAATGCTTATGAGCTTGTTTCTAAAATCTATCAATGAAAGTTTAGAATCTTAAGGAAAAAAAAACCCCAATGAAACCTACAAAGAATTTGCAAGAGAGAAAAAGGAAATGGTATCAGCGGTTTTGATCGCTGAGGCAAGGGAAAAAGTTTGAGAACATCAGTGAAATCATGATTACAGAGGAATTGTGAATTAGTATAGCATTCAATTACAGCTTAAGATTTATATGGATAAGAGTCAAGTATCAAAGATCCAGATGGTGGTAATAATTCTGGCAGGTACCTATGATATCTCTCACAGGTAAATCACATGAAGAAACGGTCAATAGGGAAACGGGAAGAACAGAAGATCTGGGGTAGAAAGGTATTAGTTTTAAGAAACAAACAAAAGGACGCTAAAATAAAGGAGAATGGCTAGAACCTAAGAGTGATACAAAGAAAGTGAAATGCTTCATTGCAATAAGGCTGGAAATGCAAAAGCTAATAGCTAGACATTACATGGGAGATCTATTGCAATAGTAGGAATGCTGAGGGAATCTTCAAAAAGAGAGCTTTAGTAGAGGAAATGCTGCGACACAAATGGAGTGTGCTAATTCAGAACTTGTTAGGAAGGGAGGGAAGACTCAAGGCAATCCAGATTTTTTTTCTTGATTATTAGTAAAGAGAATCAGACCACTCGAGTTTCTGAATATTTTATTTCAAAGGGAAAAGCATTTCCTTATCATTTTACACAGGCTGGTTAATGATGCAATTTTCTGCCAGAGGGTTTAGTGGAAGAAAAGTATTAATTGGAGGTGTGCACAGAGGTTAAACATTGGTACCATTATCCATAGAGCTGGATTAAAGAATATCACTTAGCAAGTAGAAAAGTTGTAGCTTGCTTATTGGAACAAATCCCTTTAGAAGAATTAATGCTTTTTAAAAAAAAAGCCTGGCTCATTCAAAAATCTTGACCTCACTGAGAGGATTGAAACAGCCAGTAAAAGTGAAAGAAACTGAGATGCTAAAGGTGTAACATCCTGGATTGCTCTCTGACTGTGTTGTGACTAGATCTCAGGTCCATAGAATTAAACAGGAAGAGGGGGAGTGAATGTAATAGGGAGATGATAAGAACTTCAACTATCTGATTTAAATTCAAAAAATAGAAGGTATTGCTTTTCATCTGTCCCAATGTCATTTGCCCCGAAAAAAATATAACACATTCTTTCCACATACTGGGCCCAGTCTTCAACAGGATCGAAGGAGTCAAACTTCCCAAATAGTGGCATGATGCCAGAAATGCCTACCCCAACTCAGACGACTGTTGCAAGCGAACCTCTTCAGCCCTGTGTTTTTTTCTCTCACCCCCATCACCAAGTCGCCCTCTATTTATACATGCATAGTACATGTCACCGACCCAACTAGTTCAGAGCTGGCTATTAGAGTGAGCAGAACACTCCTGATTATAACTGTCAGCCAGGTCTCCCTGATTGGACCAGGTTAACACTCCCAATCAGGGAACTCATATTCTATGAGGTCCAGGGGGCTGACTTCATTTCAATCACGACAGCTTTAAAGAATGAAGATAACATGCTTAACCTAGCTTCTTCAATGGAAATGCAACAGACTGATCTGGAGTTGAGAAAGGTGTATCAAAATAGCTCAGTCAGAAATTGAATCAGAACTAATACCTGAGCATCACTATTTAAAAGAGAAGTTGCTGAGGAAATGGAGACCACCTGAAATACCAACTGGTGTGGAATGGACAGTAACCCAACAAAATTTTTATCAGCAGCTCACGAAATTTCAATGGTATGCCTTATAAATATGAGAAAAATATAGGCTAAAATGACAAAACATTTTTATTGGATAGTATTACATAAGGCACGCTTCCCTTCATTGGTTAGAGTACTGGAGTTGGGATGTCATGTTGCAGCTGGTACAAGACATTGGTAAGGCAACAATTGAAGTACTATATACAATTCTGGTCACCCTCCTATAGAAAGGATGTTATTAACCTGGAGAGGGTGCATAAAAGATTTACAAGGATGTGACCGAGACTGGAAGGTTTAAGTTATGAGGAGACAATGGTTAGATTGGAACTTTTCTCCCCCTAGAATGATGTTACTGAACGAGGCTGATGGGTAACCTTGTAGAGGTTTATAAAATCATGACGGGCATAAATAAGGTGAATAGCCAAAGTCTTTTCCTCAAGGTAGGGGAGTCCCAAACTAGAGGGCACAGGTTTAAGTTGAGAAGGGAACAGCTAGTCAACAGCGTCCTATCAAGAATGGAAGGAGAAACTGGGGGCATGCAAGAATCTGAACGCAGGATTTCTTGGCAGAATTGCTTTCTAGTTCAATTTTTTTCTGCGATGCCGTTATTGGAAACAGCAGCTAGTGCAAAAAAGAAGAATTGAGAACCACCACAACGCTGGGAATCCATTACCATAGCTCCCTTTATTGTATTCATGCTTCCATTCACACAATACAGAAGACGACATATAGGACAGGTTCTAAGGATCATGGACACCACCAATAAAAATGAGCACAAAGGGTTGCATAAAGTGCCATGAAGTGTGCTGTAGTGCATCACATTATCTAAAGTGTACTATGACGTGCGAGGAGTAACACTTTGATTCGGTCAAAAGTTGCATTAAAATATCCCAGCAAAATCTAACAAGACAGTAGAGGCAGTTGTGACATCAGCCACCATGGGAAATATCAACACTCAACTGAGATTGATGGTGAAGTGGCCACCAAGCAGTACACTCAATGGGTGAGGGAAAGCAGAAAAATCTTTTTTTCTGTGCTACTGATATCCAAACAATACGGAGCTTTTGGAAAACATTACAACAGCTCACAAGCACATCATTTGCACGTCAGAGTATAGTCAAAGGGTTATAGCCAAAGCTCATGGGTACTGTAAAGAATGCTGCGCCTGTAAAAATATATACCCCTTACTCAAGGCCATTTATACAATTGGTCAAATATTTTGTTTAATCATTGACATTTGCAACATTTTACCCCAGACCCACAACGCAGCACATTGGTAGCTAATGGAATAGAGTCACAGTGAATTCCAGAGCAGCTAGACACTCTCAGAAATGTTCTAACAGATTTGGTAAATCAACCACTAGCAATGAAACTATCAAATGATTGTGTAAATACTCAGAAGATATTTACCTGCAAGTGCTATATTCACCAGTAAAATTATTATTCTGGGGCTTAAAGACCAGATTCTCTCTCAGTGGCAACCAAGAAAGAGTTTTACTACTAAGCTGTTGATTGTGCATTAGGTCCAAAAACAAAACACATGTGATGACCACATGCATTACAGGGCATTTGAAAAGCACAGCCAGATGCTGAGTTATGTCTTCATAAAGTGCAACTTAATATCCCTGCCAGTTGCTCTGAAATGTGCTTATCTGAAGCTCTTGATAAAGTACCTTCACAGTGTTACTTTTGTGCTGTTATCGCTGCTGTTTCTTCAATGCATCATATCAATAGTTCCCCACCCAAACCACCCCACCCGCAAAATGGCGTCATCTTGTTTAAAATTGTCCTCGTTATGAAATTGTACTGTTGTAATATTCCACTCCAACCTGTAAGACTTTGGCATGGGCCCATTTCTTAATTATTCCATTAATTATCCATCAAAAAACGCTCTTGGCACCATGATTAAACTCACAAAGCGTGCAGCCTTCAACAGGAATGAAGAGGTTGTAAATAACAAATTCATGAGCCTTGTGGTCCTCTTTCTGAAGGTCTCAGTAACAGTTTAGCAGACACCAAACGTAACGCTAATCCAAGGAACATTTAATTTAGAAGTTAAAGCCCAGCTGAGAATGAAGATGAGGCAGGATGAAGATACAAAACCTTGGACCTTCTACTTCAAGGCTGGTTAGTTCAGGAAGAGGGAGAATTTCCACGAATGACATCACCAATTTTATGCATCAAAATAGAATTGTTAGCCCTTAGTATCCACAATGCTGGTGCTACTGGCAGTGCAATGTTCGGCACAACTTGACGAGGAGCTCAGGGTACTTGAAGCACTGGCAGACTCTGGAATGGAAAGAGAGAGTGAAAGGCAAATGAATTATATTTCATGCTCCAAAAACAAAAGATCAAGTCAAACCTTCAAATATCAGAAGTCAGGAAACAAAGTATTTTTTTTACTTTGACACTGAAAACTGAACAATTTCTGTAGCAATGAATGTCAGAGCGCCTTTCTGGTTGTTCACACCTGAATAACTAGCATAAAGGATGGCAACTGACTGAAGAAATATAACGTGATTTATCGTGTGACATTTCTACCCATTCAGAGTCCAATCCAAGGTTTCAATCTGGTTTCATACTGATGCCAGAACCATGTGCTCGACTGCAGTTAATGATATTAGCAACAGATGGGTCACTAAAGTAATGTGATCACAGTACAGGGATCATAGCAAATTTACAGGGAGGAAGGCTGGATGGCAATGGGGTGGGAGTAAGCAGACTAATATGGTGGGCAGCATATTAAAGGGGTAGGTGCATCATGATTGCAAGGTGGATAGCATGCCAATGGAGAGGTCAACATGCACTAATGGGGTGAGCAATGAGCCAATCGTCCAACAAACCAATCAATCACACCACAATAACCACGGCTGTGACCTGTTGAGTGGGTTGAGTGTTAACAATGCAGCTCCTCAGCTAACAGCTAATCAGAGGCCTCTCCGCTTTGTCTTACCTGAGCTACTTATTGATTGTGAAGAGCTGGAATCCCCCATCAGTGTCTGCAGGTTTGTAGCTGGGACCCAACCCTCTTTATTTGTGTTAAGATTTCTGACAAGCCTGAGAGCAAAATGAAATTCACATGAACATCACCCCAGTTTCTTATATAGCAACGAGGGAACAGGCACACCAATTACTGGCACAGTAGCCATTAAGAGTGGGATTGCAGGTTAACAAAGCTATTAAAAAAAGTACAAAAAGAGAGCACTGGGATTCTTTTTAAAGAGGAGATCAGCTCAAAAGTTATGTCAAGCTTGCACAGGACCTTGGTCAAACCACACAACTTGCATTGTGCAGAATTCTGGTCTCCATATTACAAAAATAACAGAAACACTGGCGAAGGTGCAAAAATGATTTACAAAGACAACACCAGAGCCTTGGTGAAACATTGACTAGGATAGGATTTTTTTTTGCCAGAAATAAAAAACAAATGGATTCAATAGGAAAGCAGAAAATAGTTCTTCACTTGTAGGGCAGTTCAAAAGTCCCAGGTCCTAAGTAAACCATAATTACGGAGAAGAAACTCAGGAGTAATGTCCTTACCCAAAGATTGATAAGAGTGTGGCACTTGTTAGCAAATGGCTTAGCTGAGGTAAATTGCACACATATAGTTCAGGGAAAACTATGCAAGTACATTAGGTAGAAAAGAGATAGAAGGGTATAATGATAAGGTTGAATGAAGGGTAGGAGAAAACATGTGGAGCACAAATACCAACTCAGAATTATTGGCCAAATGGTTTGCCTTTGTGTTGTAATGTCTAGTAATTTTATGTCATTTGCAGCATAACTCATTCATTTAGTTTATCTACTTATACTTCACAGATAGGAGGAGATAGTGTAATAGAGGCAATGTCACTGGACTAAGTAATCAAGAGACCCAGGCTAATGTTCTGTGTTTGGGGGAGGGTTCAAATTCCAGTATGAAAGCTGGTGGAATTTATCTTCAATCAATTACCAAATCTGGAATCGAAATCTAGCCTCAGTAATACAGGCAAAGGAAATATCATCAACTGCCATTAAAAACATGTCTGGTTCACTAATCTCTTTTAGGGCAAGAAATTCGCCGTCATTACCTGGTCTCGCATACAGATGCTTCCAGATTCACAGCATGTGGTTCAACTGCTCTCTGAAAGTGATCTAGAAGACCATTCAGCGCAAGGATAATGAAAGTTAGACAATGAATGCCGGCCTTCCAATGAAGTTGTGGCACATGAAAGAACTTTAGAAAGTAAACATTTTGGTCTTGAAGTCTGTTCAGAATTTCTGGTACCTGTGGAACCATACAACAAGCTAAAGTAATACTTGCAGAGACTAAGTCACGGCCAGCATGACTCCAGTACCTGTTTAGGATCCCTGCTTATTGTGGATAGATTGCTGAACGAGTTTCGGTAAATGGATGATAACCCAGAAGAAACAAAATGACCTACCTGATGGACATGGAGCTTAACAGCATTTCATAAGTGGAACTCAAAAGGCCTGAACCCTAAACTCCAGCTGCTTCAAACACACACACTTCCATTTTTAACAGGATGAGCAGCAACATACTCTCAGGAAGTGAGATGCTAATTTATGTACGCTAATAAGTGCTGGAGGTAGAGGGAGGCAGTTAGGAATGTTGAATTTGAAACACAAACAGATTGGGCATGATCTTATTGGATGAAAGAACATTCTCATGTGGCCAAATGGTCTACTTCTGCTCCTATTTTATATGTGCGTACGATAGACAGGTTTCCTTGGTCTCATCAAAACCAGGAAGCAGGCGGTAGGCAAAGACTGAAATTACTGGAGAAACTCAGCAGGTCTGGCAGCATCTGTGGACAGAAGATTGAGTTAACATTTTGGCTTCAGTAACCCTTGTTTCTGTTACAGATTTCCAGCATCTGCAAAAAACAAAGTAATCTGGTTGATTAAATATGGCAGAACTGACTGCAGACTAAACCCAGCACTCCACTATCTACCCAGTATTGTCAAAACAAAGCACTGTCTGTGCAAAATCCATTAAAAAAAACAATCAATCAAGCAACAAGAAACGTTTGCTGTTATTTGAGGACTTTGTATACTATTTCACATAGAGTATCAGCTTCAATTTTGTGCAGATGTTGTGAGATATTGGTTTAAATTGACAGACTTTCAGAACAGGTGAAATATCAGCACCATATTGCACTGCTGCAAAATGTACAATAAATTCTTCAAGTCTGAAAACATACCATCGCCCATCCTGGCCCTCACGGATCAGCTGTAAGAGATCACCGGTGTTTGCAGTTAATTCCTCTCCGCCTGACTTCCCATAGTCCGCTATTACTGTGTACTTTCCAGGGAGCTGAAATGAGAAAGTAAAAAACACAGGGTTGAGTCACATTCTCGGTTGATGTAAGCAGCAATCAGATTGTCCTCATGACCACTTTTTCTGAAGTGAAGAATAGGGAGCAGTTGGTGTAGAGATAATTGATCTCATGAAGTAAAAAAAAATAAATTTGAAACAATGAGTATTCATTTGAAACAAGGGAAATGCAGATATGCATAGAGTAAACAAGGCAATGGGACTGCATTAACAAGCGAGCACAGGCATAATGGTCCAATAGCTGCCTATACTGTAGACTTCTACTTTCAGTATGCAATCATGTAACGATTCCTGAGACCAAAAAGTAGAAAACCTTTTAACCACACAAAACATTTCAAGTTTGCGTTATTTGTATACCAAGCAGCATAGTGGCTCAGTGGTTAGCACTGCTGCCTCACAGCGCCAGGGTCCCGCGTTTGATTCCACCCTTGGGCAACTGTCTGTCTGTGTGGAGTTTGCACATTCTCCCCGTGTCTGCGTGGGTTTCCTCTGGGTGCTCTGGTTTCCTCCCACAGTCCAAAGATGTGCAGGTTAGATCGATTGGCCATGCTAAATTGCCCATAGTGTTCAGGGGCATGTAGATTGGGTGGGTTATAGGGGGATGGGCCTGGGTGGGATGCTCCAGGGGTCGGTGTTGACTTGTTGGGCCGAAGGGCCTGTTTTCATACTGTAGGGATTCTATAAAAAAAAGAAGCAACCATTATTGAAGAGGTAAAGCTATGAAGGTGACTTGAACTGCACAGATGTCTCCAAAGGCAATTTCATTGGTTGTGTTGCACTCTGAGATATCCTCAACAGTAATGCATACTTATTGGATTGGTCAGATTTAAGCAGAGAAGCCAGGACAAGTGGGAAGCAAAATGTATAAAGGAAATTACATTAATAAATAGAGACAAATCAATCAATCTCATTTAGTTGTATCAGCTGAAAACTGAAGTCTCCAGAAAATGTTTGAGTAGGTTCAAGGTAGATCTGGATGCAGCTTGTCAAATAACTTAAGGAAATCTTTGAATATGAATATTACAGATCCAGCTGTTTCATCATGTTCTAACTGACCATTCTTATGTAAAGGAAAATGATTTCTAATTTGTAAAAATGACATCACCAAATAATTGCTTCTGCATAAATTTATTCAGTGGTCCATTCTGCTATCTTAAAAAGGAGGTTATTTTACCCATGGGCATTCAGGAATAAGCAGGAAGTGTGGGAATATTACTAAAAATAAACAAATGCTGAAGTATGACAAACGGATGCTTTAAATCGAAATTTATTGAAAACTATGTTTGTGAAAGCTCAAATTCCTTTCGATTTACATTGTACTAGAAACTATTTTCAACGCCATCGATAAAAGCTGATCCAAACATCTCCCAATTTACCGGAAAGAAATCTTTTCCCAGGATTTTCCTGTGCAGCTGAACTAGATGGTAGCACCCGAGTGTCCAGTCCTTGCACATCCCCAGTATCTTCACATTTTTGCAGATAGACAACTATTTACATCCTTCAGCTCCGTTCTACTCTATATTGTTCCGAAATCCACAGTACTTGAAGGGACCAAATCTCTCTCAATCATCTGTTTGTTCACGTCGCTCAGAAGATTGTGCTGTAAGCTCTCATCGTGGTCAATGAGCTTAGTGCATCTATTTCACAATGGAGCCAATGCCATGTTTGATGCCGTGACTGCTCAGATAGGATTTTACCCATGACCAACAATGCCAGGTATGAGATTTCACCATGCGGGAAACTAACGAACACTCGTATCCTCCATCAAAGGTTCGGAACCTTTGTTTAAAATAGCCATGAAACAATGAACGTTCTCAATTGTTGGAAAATGCTCCCATTGATGACAGGATTTCTGCAACAGTAGGACAGCTGATGGCCTCAGATCAGTTTAAAAAGCTCTCTCTGACCAGGAAATGAAGCCAATAATGTCATGCTGTAATGCACATGGGGTATTAACTACAGCAGAAACAGAAGGGCAAATCTGAGTCTCGTTCTGAGCTGAAGATTTCAGTGCTCAACACGGAAGGGGATGTAAAAACATCAAAAACCTACATTCAGTGGAGTTTCTCAACCATTATTTGCAGCTAGAAGCTTGTACCTACCAACTTTCTACTAGTTTCCTCTTCACAATCGGATGAATTGAGCTGGTCATCAGCACTGGACCATCCATCATTGTTTTCTTCTGAAATGTCAAGGGACTGAGACACTTTGGTCCAACCTGCAATGTAAATACACCTACTGACAAGAGGATGTAAAAACACTACATAAAATATTATTGTCATAATATTATTAAAGATATTAAAAGATGCAACCTGAAAAAACTAACAATAAATCTAATTTAATAGAGGACTTTAAACATTTACGAATTTATCAGTTAATTGTAGGTGTGGGTACCACTGGCAATGGCCATTCCTATTTTTTTTCTAGTGTCATACGATCCCAGTGCACAACAAGATGATGATGCTGTTCATTGTAATATCTATTTAATTAGTGCCACTCCCCTTCTCTCACACCACAGTCGTGAAAACTTTTCCCCACAAATATTTATCCGGTTCCCTTTTTGAAAGTTTCAGTTGAATGTACTTCATTACACTTTAAGGCATCCAAATCATACCTCCCCGCATTAAAAAGATTTCCATCTCTCCAATGGCTTTTTTTACAACTTATTTTAAATCTGCGTCCTCAGTTATCAACTTGCCTGCCAGTGGAAAAACCTGATCTCCAAAAATAGCCCCTCAGTTTTAAATTTATCGTCGAAGGTAAATAATTCCAGCTTCCCTAAAGTTTGTGACCCCGCCACAATTCTTGAAAATTTATTCTGCATTTCCCTGTTGTATATCCTTTGGAAAGATTGATGTCCCCCCCTCCCCCGAACAGTAGCCAAACTGGAGCAACAGTTTTACCAACTTGTCATCATTCTGGAGTCGGTGATACATGGAAGGGTGCAATGGGGGTAAAACTATGGGATTCTCCAGTGTGGCGTGCGAATGTGTAAGGCAGCATGATGCAGGCATGCCACTTGAGGTGGCTATTTTTGGTGGTGGTAGTGGTTAGGGATAGTGACGGGGTGCTGTGATTAAACCACACCTGTAACGTGGCCAGGAGCATTGAGAAATGTTGGTCACCGACAAAGTACGTGCTGCCCACAAACTTGAAAGCCTGATTGTAGCAAAGAAGGATATTGTAATGATTCTGCAAGTGCAGCAGAAAAGAGTGAGAGAGGACCAAGACCAGAGGTGGGCTTGCAAACCTAGCTACTCTGATACCAACTCAGAGTCCTGGAGTTGGATCCACATGATTACAGCATATCCATTGGTCAAGGCAATATTAGAGGAAGGTAGTGAGATTCCAAGACCACATTTCTATAAATCCTGTAAGTAGTGCTTAAAAGGACTTTGTTTTAGGGGGTGGGGAAGCTGTTGAAGCTGATAGAACAGTAGCATTGATTGATTGTTACTTTGGAGGCTTGCAGATTTCCAGCAGGAAGGTGTGTTGCTACACTTAAGGATCAAAAACCGGTTACCATCTCCCAATGGCTCCAATGTTTGCTTTAAGGAAGCATACATGCTAACTCTCCTCAAATGATGTTGATTCCCCTCGGTCTCCTTTCACGCACCACCCTCCCCCAATAAGTGAAACATCAACAGCTGCATGCAAAAGCTTCCAGGACCAATTCGAACCTCTGCAGAGGAAATGGAATCTTCTGAGGATGCACTGTCACATCCTTGCACATCAGCAGTGCAGATATGCGCACTTTGGAGGTGGGTATGCTTGACTATAAGGTCGCACACTGATGACAAGAACAGTCATCGGAGACTGACATGAAGCAGCCTCTCACACTTGGAGAATGAAGGAGGTAACGTGGATCTTAACTGCAAGTCAGCAGTTCACACCAGGAGCTGTCCAATAGGCAGCAGACCCTGGACACCCAACATGCTGTTTACCTGGCGAGTGTCCATTCATGCCACAAGCACTGCAGTTACCTTCAGAATTCATGGCTTGACAGAGGAGTCTCCTGCCTGTGTAAAGCAGACTCACAGCATGCAGGCCCTGCTGCCTCAGGCAACTACAGAATGGCTACCAAAGCCATTCCAGGAGACCTGCAGAAGAGTGAGCCCGTTTCTAGCCTTGCTGGCAGCAAGGAGGGAGCATAGTGCTGCAACATCGGAAAGAGAATCAAGAAAAATTCGCATTAGTGCTTTTCTTATTTATGACTTTTGAACACTTAAGAATTGTACTTTCACATGATGCTCAGGCTGCATGGCTATATCATCTGTACATGTGGTGCCGGTTTGGAATTGGATATCTTCGCTGCTTACGTAGCTGTTTGTCTTCATGTTCCACATGACATCATTACTTGGGACTGCTGCTCGCGAAGGGGATAACAGGAGAAGGTAACTAAGGGCCAAGAACATTGGTCCAGAGGTATGATTCTCGCTTAGGGCACTGTACGTTGTTAACATGTGACAGGTCCTGGGTTCAAATCCCGGACGAGCCCAGATTTCTGGGGCGGCACGGTGGCTCAGTGGTTAGCATTGCTGCCTCATAGAACTAGGAACCCAGGTTCGATTCCAGCCTCGGGCGACTGTCTGTGTGGGAGTTTGCACGTTCTCCCCATGTCTGCGTGGGTTTCCTCCCACAGTCCAAAGATGTGCAGGGTAGATGGATCAGCCGTGCTCAAATCGCCCAGTGTCCAGGGATGTTTAAGTTAGGTGGGATTAGACATGGGGAAATGCAGGGGTAGGGGAATGAGTCCGGGTGGGATGCTCTTCGGAGGGGTGGTGTGCACTTGTTGGGCCGAATGGCCCGTTTCCACACTGTAGGGATTCTATGATTCTAAGGTCTTGAGCTCAGAACCACTTGCTGTTCAAACCTTTTCCATATACAAGAATTTCTTATCTCCTGGGCATCCAAACCTTTCTGTTCACTGGAATACACAGCTGGCTGGTGTGGCTCACACTCCTCTTCATTAGAGTCAGTATTTGAGGTTGGGACTGTATTCATCAAATGTTTCTCTGCCAGGCATTCTCCTCCCTGATGGGCCAGGTTGTGCAAGATATGCAAGAAAATGGCCATAACTGACACACTTACGGGTACACATTACAAAGCAACACCTGAACTGTCCAAAGATCTAAAGCAGATGTTGATAGTCCCATGCATGCACCAGAACCATCATTATACCCCCTCCCAGGCTCTTTCCATGGGTTCCTTCTTGGTATAAAAGATCCTTTCAAGGTATCCGTTACTGGCTAGAAGACAGCTGTCCAAAAGTTCTGGTCCAGTGAATATTCTTGCAACTCAAAAGCCTAAGAATGTATGCATCGTGGTTACTATCTAGATAATATACATACACTTGTGTTTTCTGTGATTATAACTGCATGCAATTTGGACTTTGATTAAGCTTTTACTGCAGCATAGATGCAACCAATTACCTCTTGATCCTTTGAAAATCCAGCCAGGACTGCAAACCCTCTGGCTCCTTCCACTTGTCACATGTAATAACAATGTGTTCATCATGGACATACCTAAACTTGGCATTGTGAGAACCTCATGGGGTTACAGCCTGCAGGCTTGGTGATTCTACTAAGGTCTTCAAATGCTACCTAGAATGATTCCAGGGCCACAGACACTGGATAGTCTTTTTGCATAATCAGAAGCCAACTCCCAATAAAGCAAGTCACAAAGAAATGGGACTGTCTTCCTTGAGAGGTGCAGAATGGCAGAGCAGGGATGAATGGCCTCCTACAGCTCCTATTTCTTGCTTTAATTTCTAGACTCACTCTGCTTCTGACATCCACATGTGCGACACCCTGACCCTGCAAGTTCAGTTGGTAGGGTACTGCCTTTATCTGCCTGCCTGATGTTGCCGTCTTCCCTCTTAAACCCCTCACCTTGTAGCAAGTTACTGCTAGATAAAATGGTGCATCTATCCCTGATCAGCTACCCCACCCCCCACTTCCTCATGGGGGAAGACACCTCCGAAAGAACAAACAATTGAGGTTGTAGACTTGCTCGCCGAGCCCACGTGTTTGATTGCAGACGGTTTGTCACCCTGCTAGGTCATATCATCAGAGCGTCTCCGGTGAAGTGTTGGTGTTCTGTCCCACTTGTTATTTATGTGCTTCAGTTTGCTGGGGTGGTTGGCATCACTTTCGATTCTGTTTTTCAGTGGTTTGTATATTGGGTGCAGTTCAATGTGTTTGTTGATGGAGTTCCGGTTAGAATGCCAGACCTCCAGGAATTCCCTGGCACATTTCTGTTTGGCTTCTGCTATTATGGATGTGTCGTCCCAGTCGAATTCATGTCCTTCCTTGTGTATTGAGACCAGTGAGAATTGGTCATGTCCCTTGGTGACTGGTTGGTGTTCGTGTATCCTTATTGTCAGTTTTCTTCCAGTTTGGCCTATGTAATGTTTCTTACAGCCTTTGCATGGTATTTTGTATATTACATTAGTTTTATTGGTGTATGTATTGGTGTATGGGATCCTTTACATTCGTCAGTAGCTGTTGCAGGGTGGTTGTTGGTTTGTGGGCTACCCTGATACCTAGCTGTCTGAGTAGTCTTGTAGTCATCTCTGACATTTCTCTGATGTACTGTAGAGTGACTAGTGTGTCTGGCTGTGTTGTATCTTCTTGCTGTTGCGGAGGTAACGGCGGATTGTACATTTTGGATATCCATTCCTTGTAAAACCTCTGTATAAAGGTGTTCCTCTTCAGCTTTGTGCAATTCCGGGTTGCTGCAGTACATTGTGGCTCATTTGAATAACGTCCTGATGCTGCTCAGTTTATGGGTGTTGGAAGTGAAGTGGGTTGTGAGACACAGATCCGGCAGTTTCAGGGTGCTGTCCTTGTTGATGCTGTTGGTGTTGTAGGATGTTTGTCCTCCTGATTTGTCCAGTAGTATGGCAATTGTCTCTTTGGCTGGGTCAATGGTTATGGATGTAAATAGCGCTGTTATGTTGAAGGATATCATTGTCTGGTCCTCTTCTATTCTGGTATCCTCGATGATGTTGAGGAATTCTTGGGAGGAGTGGATGGAGTCAACTAAGTATTTCAGATTCCAGTGTAGTTCTTTGGCTGGTCTATATATTGAGAGTGTGGCTGGTAGTGAGAGAATGGGTCTGAGGAGGGCCCTTGGCTTGTGTACCTTAGGGAATCCATACAAGCGGGGTGTGTTGGATTCCTCGGGCTTCATTTTTTGGTAGTCTGCCTTACTGAT